TTTCGATACTTTTTCTTGCTCCTCTCATCCGATAAAATTTTACACACGAACACATTACATCAAAAAAAGTAGAGAGAAATGATTGCAGAAGTGTTTGTCTGTGCTCATCAAATTACTCACGCTTTGAGATTGAAAAGAAGATTTATGCTCGATTTGTCAAAATCGATGAAAATAGTGGGGAAGTTTTCTATGTAAAATACCTGATGGAAGAGAAAAATATGTCGACACCGAGTAATTAACAATTGCTTTTGATAGTTTCTTGGATTCAAACTTTTAACTCGATTGCACACATGCCAGATATCAATTAGAGTCACAGTGTCTATCCGATGCAGTAAGGGAGATAAATACTTTTGGTAGTACGGGTACATTCTGTCCACAAAAGTACGCATTCGTGGAATCGAAAAAAACTCCTAAACACTTGCTTGGAGTGCCAATAGCTCCTAGTTTACACTCCCGGGAATGCCAATAGCCATTTTGAAAAAATAATTGAAGGTCGAATAATTGCCTCATCTACACTCACAGCAGCGCTGAGAGTAAAACAAAAGAAAATCATTATCAGTCAAACAATATATGGAGAAGCATAAGCAAAACATGCTAGTTTATATAAGTGAGTTCAAAGCAGCTTGATGCGAACGAAAAAGAATTAAACCAGTTTGAAATTTAGCAAGATATTAGGGTTACTTTCACTTCGTATATGCATGTTTAATAGCCAAACGTTTCGGGATATACGCAACTTCTTCATCAGTAGAAAAATTGAATTGAAATTTGAATTATAAAAACCTTACATCTGGAACACAAGAGAGATAAACAGTTACATTAAAAGCAGGAGAATCGGTGAACACAAAGCATCTATTCGGAAAAACCAAATGGAGAAATCGCTAGTTGCCAAACATATTTCCGATAGTAAAGAAGCGTGCGAAATGAATTTCGACGAGTGTAAAACTTTTGATTATGAACGTAATACATTTTTCGTCGAGAGTATTTAGAATTGGTAATCGCCCTTTGAATAATAAACGATATATCTTTCAAAAATGAACTCCTATCATTCAAAAATGGATACAGATGCGATCCGGTATTGTTTTCATAAGAAAGAAAAAGAAAAATTGCGTCTGTTACATATTGATCAGACGCAAATACTTTCTATATACTCGTGATATATTGATCTTATTTAGTAGAGTAACTATATGTGAAAAGCCGAAACCCATTTCTTTTTTTTCGGTGAGGCGCACTAAAATGTAAGCGCATCTAATTCATCATATAAAACCACGATAGTATTTTCACAAAATTTATATATCTCAACAACCATTTGGTCCTTATCAGTACGATTTGCACTAAAATTCATCAAATCCTTTATACTTTCTGCTTACATGATCAGAAACGCATTTACGGAAAGTCGCTTGAGCATTCTCCACAGTGTTAGACGTCAGGTATCTGTAATGACTCTTAGTTACAAGTGAGGAAACGGTAAGGTGCCTTAACGATCGGAACGATACTTTTTATTACTATAGTAATAACTTGCAAAAAAGAAAAGACATTCGTCTGCTCGACTCGTTTAAGAGTGTTCTTGATAGATAAAACAAAGGATAATAATTAATTTGTGCTCGACGCATTGCTTGTTCGAATATGTAGACAAAGCGATTTTAAATGAGAGATAGAACGACTTGTTCTGTTGCTTCGAACGCTTACTTTCGTGTTTTTGTCTTGCAAAAAATGTGTCATAATCGTTTAATAAAAACACAAAAGTAGCTGTTTGTCGTGTCGCTCAGAAAGAATAGATCTGTATAGATGAAAGAGCTATGTGTAGATGACATCGGCAAGAGTTAAGAAGGGACAGTACCGAGATGAGGAAAAATCAACGGTGAGTTTGTTTTTGATATATCTCTTTCACTATTGGTGCTAGAGAGTCAATTCAAATGCCATTCGAAAGAGCAGATATTTTTTATCGTTACTATATATAAAACAATTTCACACAGAAGACTGCTCAAGCTTTGAAAAAGGAAGTTTTTTTTGCCATCTTAATATGTTGTATTTCTCGCTCATCATAATCGACATTACAAGCTTGGAAAGCTTAGCCTATTATGACATCAGTCGTAGTTGTAGACTTAAGGAGGTTTTAACCCTCCCCCCCTTTTGATTTCGATATGTTATACAGTTCGATGAACCACGCCAGAATAATCCCCATATATGGGGTCAGAAACGTAAAAAAAGTGATTAAAACTGAGTTCCAAAAAGTTTTTTTGGAGGTGCTTAATCCAGGTCTTCGAAGAAGACGGAGTTTCGTAATATACTCAAAAACAAGTGTTATCATGAGCTTTTTTGAACCTATTTAAAATCTGATATCATGTTCGGTCACAACCTCTTAAACTGGCAGTCACAAACTCTTAAAAGATGACAACCTTTTACGTCGGTCACAACCTCTTATGTACCTGTCTGATAACGAATGATATCGAGTGATATCTGGAGAATATTTTTAGGCGGTCACAACCTCTTAAACAATCAACTGGACATATGTAAACTATAAGTGTCAGAGATGTGAGTATGCCTTCGGTCTAAAGTGCAACTCTTTGTGTTATTCTTTATCATTAACCATGATACGTAGTTATTTCTGACCAAGTGAAGGGAATGTGACCATCTGTCTAATTGTTCACTTACCTTATATAAATAACTTAGTTTGGTTGCGTTTACATGATTAATTGCCACAAAATGAAATATTTCTTCGCACTTTGCACTTGTTTCATTGCAACGGCATCGCTGTTTGACTACCGGTCTGTTGACAGTTACCGTTGTTTTAACTGTATTTTCAGTTAGCGTTAAATCAATGCAACGGGAACTTTTATAGTCCTAGTTTGAATAGTACCGTTTACATCCGTTACACTTAAACCAAGAGAGCGGATACTGCACAGCTGTCAACTGATACATTGAAGGTCTATAGTATAACAATGAATTCATAGTATCGCTTTATCACACCAATGCCGCACACTCACAGTTTCATGTTTCACAATATAGCACTATGAATCTCATAGTTTCCCAGTATCACAGTATAATAAGATGAATTTTATAGTTTCACAGTATTACTTTCACAGTTTCATAGTTTCAAAGTATCATAGTACAACTTCCCTAGTTCACGCTATCATAGGTGACTACCAGGGGAGGAGGGGGCGACAGCATGAGAGCAAGTTACAGGACAATATTGCTCTACTTCTTCTCAGATGAATTGAATCTGAAACTATTCAGCTTGCCTTGATACCATGACACTGTGAAACGACGAAAGTCATACTGTGATACTGTCAAACTATGAGATTCATAGTGCTATACTGTAAAAACGTGAAACTGTGTGTGTGCGGTATTGCTATGATAAGTCGATGCTATGAATTCATGGTTATACTATAGGCCTTCACTGTATGAAATGACAGTCCTCGGATACTGGTTTGTGTACTATTCTCTAAATTGTAGCAGTCAGTAGTGTGGTAGTTTCTGATAACAACTACAAAAAAACTTTTCAAATAAAAAAATGTAAAGCAGATGTAGTATAGGCATAAACAAATCCTACATAAATATGGTTCTTTTGCGGACCGCTGAATAAATTATTCAACGGTCCAACATACTCTATACTCACTCTAAAAATGTCAAACCTAACTATCGTTATCACACAATCAATGACTATATTCCAGACGAACGAAAGTCAGCCAATAACGAGTGAACTTTTTCCACAGTTTTTTTTAAACAGTTCGGTTTACTATTTCATAATAAAAGTTAGAAAAAGTAGGTTTACAAGACATTAAGAAGTACTACTACTATTTTACTGAAGTTTCGGTACCATAATCTAATGTTTTTCATTGTTTTTCTCAACTTGTTTCACAAATTAATTGCTATTTATTTTGAATATATTCACAATATTCTGATATATTCAATCAACGTTTGGTTCCGTTTTTGTTACTATTTATCGAGAATATGTCTGATGTAAGACAATATTGCAAATATTCAATAGTTACATCTGAAAATAAGTTGTTTTCGAGATGAGACATTGTAGCTTTATTTTTACCATTACTTGCTGTATGCAATGTAGCCATTTGAAATAAAATGTCAAATGACCTGCAGGAGTAAAAAAAAAGGTTTATTTACTCATAGCGTGATATATCGGCGATAAGAAACGAAACGGTGTGTATGACTAACCCATGAGGTTAGTTTTGTCTTTTACAACAGTATCCAGACGAATGTAAAAGGCAAAATAATAGGAATACGTTCAATCAATGCTTGGGACACGCTATTATTTTGTCATTTACACACGTTTGGACACCGTTTCAAACGGTGAAAAACCTCACGGGTAAGCCACTAAGGGAAACAGATTTCTTTTGGCACAATGCTAATTCATCATTCCCGCTGAATAAGGGCTAAAATTCTCTTCTACACATATTTTTATTGAAGAATTTTTCTGTTATCGGTTTTCCCCCGAAAACAATCGGGTAATAAACCAAATTAAGTCTTGTTCTGTGTTTAAAAGTCCTCGAAGCAAAAAAAGCAAAATGTAATAAAGAACTCATAAAAAAAGGCATATATAATCGAAGTAAACACCTTACAACAGGGAAGAAAAAAGAGAATTTCAATAACAAATTTTAAACGTGTGTGCAAACGAAACAGCAGACTGTTTATCATTTCGTTCCGTTCTTTTTTTCTTTTATGTGTTTTCTTGTCGTCTTCCAAAGGTTAAAAACATGAATTGCATGAAAAGGTTGTTTGCTGTGATCACTAAACCAATTTAAAAACATCGATTTGTTTTTAACGCGAGAATATTTAACTAGTAACAGTTTGTAAAGTAAGCAACACATCCGTTGCAATTTCGCATAAAGTATGGTTAAATGAATGCAAATAATGCTCAGTCTCTTTTCTGTCAGGGTTTGATGACACCCTTCAAGCGGATGATGAAAGATTTCTTTTAATCAACTGATTATTTTTTCAACCTGTTGCGATTGTAGTTTACCTTAGCCGTATCCTTCTTTTAGATGGCGCATACCGTAAATGATGAAAAACATTTGAAATCTTGTCTCTCTCATATCATCGATCTTGTTGATAAATGTTTACAGAATCTGAAAGTAAAACAACGGCCTCCTACACCGACCACAATTCCACAGCCTTCTAACAATTCAACAGCAGCAGGAGCAAGTGACGATGTTCTGCTTGCAAATTCTCAACTGAATAATAACATAAATACATTTACATTAAATGCGGATGAAAATCAATTATTAGATGAATTAACATCGGATATCCAAGGAACACTTGAACAATCTTTACCACATTTATCAAAAATTTGTTCAAATTATGTAGAAGATTTTTTACATTCATATCATTATGATCGTGGCAGTCGAACATTTACATCATCTTTAACAATGAATGTATTATGTTCGTTTTATAGTGAATTAAAAGGCCTATTAGCTGCAAGTGAAGCGTTTCCGGCGGCATTCAATGGTCAATTAACAATTGTTAAAGATTTTCTAAAACAATATCCAATGTTTAAAGATAAACCCGGGCTGTGGGAAACAACTTTATTATATTCAGCAGCTCGTAATAATCGTTTTGATATTGTTAAATATTTAATTGAACAAGTACATTGTTCAGTTAATGCACAAAATCAACGTGATATGAGTTATGCATTAGATTCACAGACTACGGCTAATTTCACACCGCGTCCAACGGCCGCATCAACAGCCCTTCATGGTGCTTGTTTTAATAGTCATTTACCTGTGGTTCAGTATTTAGTAGAACATGGAGCTGATTATTTCATTAAAAATCAAGCTTATGAAACGCCAATAATGAATGGTGAACACAATCCAGATATAAAACAATATTTTCAAGATTATTTAGTGCTCGGCTATTCTGCTGTTCAACAACATTCTCCACGTTTACCAGATCGACCGATTATGGATGAAGAACAACGACCATCGTCAACACCAGATTGTCTATGGGAATATAAACCAATCCAAGATCGTGAATGGTATAAATTTTCATCTGGAGAAGCACATGAATTACATCAAGCATTATTACCTTCTAAAGAAGAATTTCAACAACAAATTCACCTGAAAGTACGTCATGGTCTATATAATATTTCGATGATTGAATTTATTCGTTCTGGAAAAAGTGAACAAGAGCCCCAGAAAAACATGGCTTGGGTCAGGTGTAGGGGATCAAGTATTCTAAATTTTGATTGTTTTTCGATATGGCAATTGATGTTAATACAACATCCCAAACTTCCGAGCAGTGGTGCAAATTTGATCCCATCATTACAAATAAAACAATTACCAACATTGATTAACAGTCGATTTAAACTTCAATTAAATACATGGTACAGCTGTGATGCCAAAACAAACTCACTGTTAGATGATTCAATGAATTATAGAAGAAAACAGTTGATTGCCGTTGATATCCCATTTGTTGATGATCAATTACAATTGAATTTACAAACGTTCACCTTCACAAATAATGTAAAAACAATCGCTGGTCATTTAAGATGGATACCAAAATTAATTTCAAATAGTGAACAAAATAAACTGAAGGTTGTACACATAGATAATTACCAAACAATGACAAATCTGCAACCAATTCCTCTGACAACAAAGCATCTGAAAGAAGTTCTACATATGAAAAATGCTAATCTTAATCAAACAGATGTTGAGCAAATGGATCAAGATGATGATGTCATAATAACACCAAATGATGGAGGAGGTAATGAAGGTGAATCAGATGACGACGATAATGGAGGAGATTCAAGTTCAAATAAAAATAATAAAGTAAGCGTGCTAGAAGAAATAATCCGGTTTTGTATAAAGAGGAAGCATAAATGCTGAAGTTCTCACATTCGGTATCAAAGGAAAAACAGAGCAGCTTTGCTCGTTTTTGCAGTAACTGTTTATTGGACGGAGATAAAGATCTGTCTTCCCTCATCGAGGAAAACACGACTAAAAACTTGACATCTAAAGTACTGCTTATAAGTGGTATATCCAAGGGGGGAAAAGCATACTTCTGTACTTCTCGGTACTTCTTGATACTTCTTCGTACTTTTTTGTACTTCTCCATACTTCTGAAGTACGAAGTGCGAAAGGGGGAAAAGCGTATTTCGTACTTCGTACTTCAGAAGTACGGAGAAGTACAAAAAAGTACGAAGAAGTATCAAGAAGTATCGAGAAGTACAGAAGTATGCTTTTTCCCCCTTGGGTGTATCTTACCCGATTTTCAAATAGGCGACAAACAGATACTGAAGAGAAAACTGAGTTTGAAGTCTGATAGAACCTTTGAATGGCTCACACATCCCTCTAAAATTTTGCGAAAGACGCAGAGTTACAGTTACCGTCGGTTCAACTGCAACAAACATCCTCTGAAATCTTCAAGACTGAGAACTTCATAAACACATGAGGTATAGCGTACTAATTCTCCTGACTTTCATGGAAGTCTTTGTTTTTTTATGAAGTTGAACGACCATCTCTAGATTGGACCCTTCGATATTAGAACATTTGGTATTTATCTCCGTCCAGTGTTATTTCCAAGGTGTTTTCGAAATTCAATGCTAGTTTCCAACTTCTCCATGCGGGGCAAAGTTGAAAACTCAAGTTTATAGAAATTATTTAGTCAGCTGCTACACTTTCTTGCCTATTTCTAGATATCTACCACTACAGCTAACAATGGTATATGGAGTGTAACTGATTTAAATGAAGAAAATACCGTCATTCAGAAACCTCCTTCTGCCGTTCCTGTTGCAACCACTACTGCTAAAAATCTTCAAATATCTCCTGATAGTTTTTTCTGTGAAACAGCTGGTCGTCTTAAACAACCACCTCTTATCGAAAAATCCAATACCACATTGAATACTGAAGCTACAGCCGATCTCACTTCAAAACTCGAGTCAGAAAATCAAAAATTAAAAGAACAAATTGAACAACTGAAAATCGAACAACAAACACAATCACAACAAAAAATGACCAAAGAAAAAGAACAACAATTCCAAGAGCAACGTGAGCGTTTAGATAAGCTACAACAACAATTTAATGAAAAAAAAGTTTTAGAACAAAAATTAAAAGATTATTCCAAACAAATTAAAACTGTTGATTATAATAATATTGAATTGGTTGTCGTACAACAATATCTTTGGTATAAAACAGACAAAATATTAAAATATTTGAATACGAAGCAACGAATGGATGATTATTTCGTTGGGAAAGTACCGAAAATGGCATTTAATGATAATAATAATAATGGTGAAATATTTATTGTTTCAGTCACTGGATTTCAAATACATCAAGATGAATTCAAGTTAGTTCTACAACGAATACAAACCTTATCAAATGTAACACAATCAGCAAAAGATTATTATCAACGCCAATCAACCAAGAGCGTAGAAACTCTAACACAGATACTAACACAACAGATTCATCAGTCACAAGACTGGAAATATTATACGAAATATTTTTTTCAGTTAGTTAGAGAAAAAAGTAAAGAATATGTAAAATTGTTTGATGAATATATAACAAAGAAATCAAAGCAACTCATAGATCAATGTATTGTAGATGTTGAATTCCAACCGTGGGTTGAATTAAGAAAACAAACTGATAAATATATGAAAAATAAATCATTCACGTCGGAATTAGAACTGTTAAAACAGCAAGCACTTGACGAATATATTAAACTACAAGTATTATCTCAGCAATTAAAATTTGATAAGAAACCATCAAAACGATCAACACAGGTAATGAATGATTTTATTGATAAAGTAAAACAAGATTTTAAAACAAACCAGACGTATGTAGGAAGTGAATTTAAACATTTTAAACTAATACCAAAATTGTTACAACGTATCATGTTATACTATCGTTGTTTTTATTTACAATTACCGTTGTATGAATCGGCTAAAGAGTTACTGGAGAAAATTGAACAGAATACAGTGATTACAATAGCAACATCAACTGGATCAGGTAAAAGAGCCCTTTTCGAAAAAGAGTGAGTTATTATTAATACATCTGTGTTACTAATATGGATAAACCGCATTATGCTCGATGTAATACTGTGCAGGCTATTTGCAGCGCTATGAAACAAAGTCGTATAGAAACGTTCTCAATGAAATGAGTTGGTAATCTCTTGGAGACATATTGGAAAGTTAACGTTTAACGCATTTTCATAAAATAATGCTAGAAAAAACTCCCGACTATTCAAGTTTATTGTTACCAAAAAAGATAACATGAGCTCTTATGCGATAAGGAGTGCCGACAAAACACTTGTCCCAACTGTAAGACTTAATTTAAAATTTTGTATGACTCATTCATTTATTTTATAGCTCATGAGTATAAAAAACAAGAAAAAATTCTTCCCAAAAAAGCGCACAAAATTTTCAGTAGTAGGCAATCGTGACGATGACCTTAGTTATTGTAGATGTGGAGTATTATTCTTCAATCAAAATCAAACAATTCAAGTGTTTGTGGGGTCCTAATATGTTATGGTTATCGAGAGTATAATTTTTAAAAGCAAGGTAGTGTGCTTTTTTTAAAAAATAGCGCCATCTTCAGTCTTTCATTTTTTGAGGTCAAACCGAGAAGAATATCCTGCCTTGCGACCATCGTGTTCTTTGTAGGGTCAGGTTGTCAAATGGCAGTTTCAATAGGCTGATATCTTCCTTGTGGATTCTCCAATTGATGTGGATCTTAACCAGTCACTTCCTACCTCAGAAAACTTAGGAACTATGTGATTTTGTTTACTTTTTAAGCTTTTGACATGGTCGTTATTGGTCATCTCGTTATAAGTCATCAACTTGAGCTCTGGGCAGGGAACTCGGCTGATGCACATTTCTTTCGCACAATTATTTGCGCTTCCTATACACACTGACTAGCCACGTTCTAGGTTTCCTGAAAGCCGTGCAAACTGGTCAGAGGAACTGTATCCCACGTCATAACGTCGTGAATATGCTGGCGGACGGCTGACCCAACACACTAAGACATAAGTAACTTATCCAAGGTTACTACATGACCTGGCGGCGCGAGGTTGGAGCACAGTACCTTTCAAGTATGTGACCAACAATTTAAGAGACGATTCGCCAGCCCATCCACAAACTGAGCGCAAAAACTTTGTTTTGAAAGTCGTGCAAAAGTTTCAAAACTTGAAAACAAGATGGCCGACTAATCGCGAGTTTTCAGTTTTTTGAGATTTTAGTCATCGAAAAAAAAGGCGATTTAAAAGTAAAAGTAAAGTGATATTTAGAATCAGCGTCGAAAACTACATCAGATGATGTGCCTCGAAAATCTTTTAGAGAAATGAAAAATTTTGATAATTTTTCAACTTTTTATGTTAGGCTTCAGAGCAAATTTTTACAAAATTTTTCATCTCTCGTTTTATGGAAATTCAATTTTCTATCGCATGTAGCCTTCGAATTCTTAGCTAAAGTCTGTTTGGAGAGTCTAAAGGTGGCATTTTCTCCAAAATTTTGAGCTTTCAAAATCCCAATTCTCCAATTGATGTGAATTTTAAACACTCACTTTCTACTTCAGAAAAATTAGGAACTATGTGATTTTGTTTACTTTTTATCAGGCTTTCGAATGAGATGTTGCTCGAACGGAGCGGATAAAAAATGGCGGAGTTATAGTCAAAATATCAAAGATGGCTACTTTCCGCAAATCGTCGATTGTGCTCATTTTGTCAATTCTATAATTCAGCCAGAATAACTCAGAAAGTTTATTTTTATTTTTCATAACCCCAAGTTTTATACTAGAATCCGAATATGAAATAGATTACAGATAGAATTTTCGGTAACTAATATTTCTCTTTATGAAAACTCACCTTCGAAAATGAGCCGTTTTGTTTAGTGCTCGGTATTCTTTCAAGAGAAATATAGGTCACAACAGTCTGATTTAACGACAGCATAGCTTACGAGGGAACCTCCTGAGGTGCTAAAAACTTTTTTGAGTGGGACTATTATTAAAATGTAGACCCTCATGGGCTATGAAGAACCCCAACTTGGTTCGGGTGTAATGAGCTTTGTTGCTGAGATATCGAACTTTCCCCATGGGACCTGGATTTCAAGCAAAATCGGAGTTTTGAATTCCAAGGTGAAACTTGTCACATATTGTAGGTCAGACTATTTGTAGTCTGGTGTAAAACGGCCGAGCTGAAAACCTCTTTCCACTGCGATGAAAGACTTTTTTCAAAACTTGCTTCATGTTTTACCTTTCGTACCTATGGAAAAGTTCCTTCATCACAGTGGAAAAAGGTTTTCAGCTCGGCC